ATATTTTTCTATCAACGTTCTATCAACTTATTTAGATGCACGTGCATTTTAAAAGAAACTTATATATCGCACATACGTGTCATTTCGAGTTTAATTTTTTCCATGTTTTTCTTAAAATCGCACAATTCACTGTCGCAGATTATTTCTTTCTCCAAAGGCACGAGTTTGGCATTAGTTTCGATCAAAGAACAAAGCAACTCGATTCTTTCAATCAACATCCTCCTTCGTGAATAAAAGTCTCGTTCGGTTGTTTCTCGAGCTCCAACGTTCGAATACTATTACGTACGATTTGTTCGTTAATTTTACACACGCGACGTGTAATATCGCACGCGTCATTAAAATCAGTAAATCTTTACAACGAATTTGTACATTCGGAATCACAAAATAATACGTACAATCATTCGAAATCAATCTTGTCTGTTATTTACCTTTCTCGTCAGTATCGGTAAACATTCATCCATTCGATTCGAATTTTAAAATAATATATATCTTCTTCTTGAAATTAATCGCGCAATTGTACGACATGCGATCCATTAATTGGACACGTGTTTTGTATATATATATATATATATACACACACACGAAGGATCGTTGGCGATTGAAAGTTAAACGCGTGATAAAATACGCACACGTAGCATCTAGACACACGAAATGAAATTCATTAGTTTTCCGTGACCATAGTTACGAGTTGAGTCCGTTACTGACTATTGCACGCTTACTCGCCTTCGTGTAACGAATGTCAAAGCAAAAGTATCGAATCACACTCATACCGCAACGATAAACTTTGTTCGTAACGATTTAACAGCGTTCTCGTTGCGCATAATCCGCTTACACGATTTAAAACGTTGCGTATACACGTACGTATGCAGATGCATACGTACGTGTGCTGTACAAACAAGCGATGCACGCACGTGTGATCGATCGCTCATCTACACGTACGTGTGTTTTACAGAGAATAAGAGTAAAAGTAAATTTATATTTGTAATTCAATTATTATCGTTGTATCTCTTTATTTAGGCTTTAAGCCCAATAACAATTACATTCAATACCTGATCGTCTTGCTTAAGGAAAATGACATATAAAGTAACGGTGATCGGTTAAACGGCTCGCAGATGCATCGTGTATACATGCAAGTACGTGTATCGATTCCACTCTGCTGCACTCGATCGATACGACGTAAATATTCCTTTCTTAGGAAATGAATTTCTACCGAAATTTGAAAACGATCAGTGCTGTAAACTGTACACCACCAAGTACTTACGTGTCTACTTAAATGTACTTAAATGTTGATCAATGACGTGTCGACGAACCAACGACGAATCGCTTCCTTTCTTAATGGAACGATCCGTAGACGTAACGTAACGTAACGTTCCGTTCATCAAAATTTTGTCAATCAAAACGACAGATAATTTGCCGTTGAACCGTTGAAATTAAATTGCCTGTCGTTTGGTCGCGCTAGCGTTAGTGGCAAAGCGCTAGTGCTGCTACGTCGACGCGATTATCAGGATTACAACACTGAATTTTGAATTTCACACAGACAAGAGAATATACATATAAGTTTATATATAGAAGTTACGAAATATTTAAACATTTAGTTCTTTCGAACACTCACCGTTCTATCAACACTTATTCCATTCCAAGTGATAAAAGTATTCGAGTGTAAAACGTAAAAACAAGTCCAACGGGTGTCGATCGTAGTTTTGTCTTGTCCGACAACTTTTGGACGATGTCTCTTCTTTTGGTAAAAATCGACGCTTGTACTTTGTACAGCCTGACGTTAGAAGTCGATCGTGAGAAGTAATATCGATCATTATAATCTACCGTCATAACGTTTTTCATCTCACCGTTTCACGTCGCTAAAATAAACTAAGATGATTGCGCGCGCATGTGCGTGCGCGCGTGTGTATGCGCGCGCGCGCGTGTGTGTGTGTGTGTGTAAAAATATATTCCCCACGTTGGAATAGAAAATTTTTTCTTTTCATTAACCCCTCTTGTACATCGAACGAAACGTCCGTTTGTTTAATTATTTAATTCCAGAATTGAAACGTTGATAATATTATTTTTGGAACTCTAGCGACAAGCGAACGACGTAGCAAGTGATACGACTCCAAGTCACGAATGGGATACTTCCTACGGGATAGTTGCTATATTCGCCGAAGCGAAATTACAGAGGGCGCTAGGAAACGCTAAGAAACGCTTCGACGTCACGTCTACCGTGTCGATAGTCGATGGTTATTAGTCAATCTCGAGTCCGAACGTATGGTCGAATATGTGGTCTACTAGACGATAAATATGGCGTACCGTGGTGTGAAAGGTTCCGATCCGTTCGTTTCGAAAACATCGCGAAACGAACGTTTCGCGCAAATGTCGAAGCAAGAACAAATCATTCAGCAAAAAAAGCTCGAGATACAGGCAAAAATGCAAGAACAAAAAGCGAAAGAAGCCGTGGAAAACATGAAAAAGACAAGCACGCTAGCTACGAATTTGATAGAAAACAGAACAAATTCTCCAAAGTGAGTAAAGTCGTGTCACTGTCGGTATTATCACTATCGATACTTGCTAGGTAGTATCGCAAAAACATCCTCTTATTCTCACAATTGTGCGTTAATCGTTACGTTCTTTAACCGAGTGGTAGTTTTTGCTCTTGGAACAGGACTGCAGCGTCGTGCACGTCAAAACGTTTACAACAAACTGGTCGATCTACTGGAAATATTATATTTATACAGTATAACGCGTAGTAGAGTAATTTCGTATCGATCGATCGACTGGAAAACGATCAACTCGGTAGTTTTAATTCGATATATATCAGAGATGGATTTAACGTAATCTTACAGACAGACATTTTCGTTTCGTCATTTACAGAAAAGACGAGGAGAAATCGACCGCGTCTCAAACGATTAATTTGTTCGCCAACGACGGTAGCTTCTTGGATCAGTTTAAGAAAATTGCCAACAAAGGAACTGGGAGATCAGAGTTTTCCTTGAAAACGGAGAAAAGGGAAGAGAACGTACAAGAGAAGGAACGAAAGAAGAACAACGACAGAAACAAGGACTGGGAAAATAGGAAGGATCGTGGAAGAGAGGATTGGGAAAAGTCTTGCGACAAAAGACACGGCTCTTCTTCCAGCCCGTCTCCTATGAAACATCCGGTATCTCAGGGCCATCCAGAAGCCAGACGTTCGTTCAATCAAGTCCAACAAACGTCCAACGGACACCGCACGCAGCATACTCATCAACAGTTTCTTCGTCAAAATGGAAATCTGTCTGCTATTCCTCCCCACATGTCTCAACCTATGACGCATCTTACCGGCGTATCATCGTCACCTAACACGAGAAGTATCGTAGCAACCAACGTATCCCCGCCAAATTTATCAAAAATGCCTCCTTTGAAAAGTACGTGCAACACTTACCCCAGAGCGGACGATCAATCCGCAGATGCAAAAATGCACGTATCGCCATCCCGTACGATTCGTCCACCCGCACCTCCACTTTTGTCCGTGCAATCTATTCTCCCAAATACCAACGTACCCCCGCCAAATATGCACATTTCTCAGACACTGTCGCCTAATTTACAAAGCTTGCCACTACCACCACCGCCACCGCCACCACCACTATCACCACTGTCACTACCACTACCGCTACCGCTACCGCTACCGCTACCACTACCGCTACCGCTACCTTCGTCGATTCCATCCGGATCTCTGTCATCCACAACGTCGTCATTAACGTTGACAACACCATCAACGTCGCCAACATCCTCTTTGCTATTGTCATCACCGCCGCCGCCGTTGCTCTCGTTGTCTCGTTCCCGTTCTACTTCTTCCATCTCTCGTTGTCACAATTCTTCCTCTTCCTCTTCCTCTTCCTCCTCTAGCTCTGCCTCTTGTTCGTCCACGTTAACATCAACGACATTTCAACTACCTTGCGCGTTACCGACGTCCTCTTCCGCGTCATCGATATCGACGTCAACATTGGCGTCATCGTCATCGTTATCCGCATCGACATCGACATCGACTTCGACATCGACATCGAC